GTGGGGCGCGCAGCTTTCCGCAGCGCCAGCCGTGGGGAGATGGCTGGGAAAGGGCGCTTCGAGGGCCCCGAAAGAGCCCGCCGCAGAAACGATTCTCTGCCCGCGGCGGCATCGTTGCAGAAGACGGGTGGGGAAGGACGGAGATGATGCTCGCGTGAAAGACGGGACTTGCAGAGGTTTCCATGAAGGAACCCCCGACGCTGGCCGCTCAGCCGTCGTCCCACAGCTGGGAAAGGTCCCCACTCATGCCATTTCCTTTAATTTATTCGGTGTACATCTTCCCTTTCCATTTCCGTTGCGGTTTGGGTGCTGGTCAAAAGGGAATCGGTCCCCGCTACGAAGTTTAGTGACTGGGTCAGCTTTGCAGGAGGAGAGATGAACTAGCAAAAACTCTTTCTGACAGCACTTTTTCTGGGGGACCAATTTGATTTAATTTTAATGCATTTTATCTGAAACTGTCATACATTTTATTTCATAAAAGTGGTCCGTCGGAAAAGATGCTGCCAGATTCCTTCTGATTTTTAAAAAAAAAAATTTTTTTTTTGCTGTCAATGTTTTGTCCTTCTGGAGTCAAATGCCTTGAGATTTACTTCTGAGTAAGTATATAGGTTCTCTGAAAGGAAAGAAAGCACAAACTGTAGCCACTGCTCTTGAGAAAAAAAAAAGGAAAAATATCTTTTTGTGGCTCCCACCATGGGGCACATTTAAAGTACTTTTTAAAAAATATAGTGGCAGCATTGATTGGGGGAAACATTTAGCACAACCTTGCAGGGCGGTCTGTTTTAAGTGCAGATTGCAATTTAAATGGATGCTCTTCTGATGTCACAAAAGGAGGTGCAGGTACATTGTGGAACCACTTTCAAAAATCTGCTATATTCAGCATGATTTCCCTATTACAGGCGGTCCCTGCAAGAGCTCAACAACAACCTTATAAGGTAGTCTAGTCCTGTGGCATTTGTAATATAGCCTGCAAAAAAGTATCAGTAATAAGATTCAGATCCTTAATCAGTTGAAAGCCATGAAAAGCATTTGCATATTTGATGCAAATGCTGGTTTTAACTAGGTTAGATATTTGGGGGCACTTAGCGTGTTGTGCCAATTGAACTTATGGTGTGCTGTGTGAATCTAGGAAATTAGGTGATTTGATTACCAAGTTGAACATATTGTGTGAAGCTGGGGTAGTGAGAATATATGCTATTATAATAGAATTGTCCAATATTTTAGGCGCATTTTTTTATTTATTTCAGGAAGATATGGTATATCCTCTTTTGCTGGCTGTCCAGGACAGAGAAAGGGGGAATTATGAAAGAGGGTTTTATCCTATATAATTTGTTTTCAAGAGTTAAGACCAGCGTTCCCCAACCATGGCAACTTTAAGACGTTGTGGGCTTGCCCAGCATGTTGGCTGGGGAATTCTGGGAGTTAAAGTCCGCACTTGTTAAAGTGGCTATAGTTGGGAAACAGGGAGCTTGACCATCGCGACACATTCCTTCCAATCACTTCCGTTGTGAAACGGAAATGCCTCCCCCTCTTCCCGTGGAAAGCTCAGGAGGGATGCGTGGGCGGCTTCAAAGGGCGTGTCAAATCCTAGAGCGGCAATGCTCCACGCGCCCATAGAGAATCGCGATCAAAATGGCGGCCTCCCGACGATGACTGGCTTTCCGGGCCTTCTTCCTGTTCTTTTGTGCTCGGCCAAAGTTGATAATTCTTAATTATCCGAATTAATTAATAATGAGAAACACAAACAAAATAATGCTTAGGCGAAACAGGAATAATAAAATAGAGACAAAGTAGCAAACGCGGATACCTTGCTTCATTTCCGTTCCTTAGGCCTTCCGGTCCCAGCTCTAATTCGTCCTCCCAGCCACTTCCGGGGTGTGCGCGCGCGTCCTCCCGCTTGCCCCAGGCCGTTGCGACGGTAACGTTAGGCGGAGTTGTGAAAGACGAAGCTGCGTCCGGGCTGGAGGCGCGGCGGGGGCCTGACCCCCCCGCAGTTCAGTTCCCCTCCAGCCGTGAACCGGCCTGAAAAGGGAAAGGGGTCCCTTTGGCATGTATAAATGGGTCCTCACGAAGGCCGACCGTCGTAATTCTGCACGCTCGGTAACTTTGCCATAAAGCTGTGGAGTCTCCTGACCGCTTTGCCTGCGTTGCCTTACCACAGCCTTGCAAGGTAGGACGGCACCATCGCCGCCCTTGCTGTACTTTTATTCTTATATTACTCCTCTAGGGCCGAGGAGCTGAGACAGAGGGAAGGTGGCTCGTCTAAGGTTAACATAAATGAGGGAGACTTTATATTTCCATGTTTTGAAGCGCACTTAAAGGACGTGACGTCCCAGCTGGTGCCTGGGAGACTTTAGGCGTTATTATTACTGTGCTACTACTACTATTATATTACAATATTGCATTATTATTATTATTATTAGACTTTATACATTATTACTACTACTACTATTATTGGAAGACTTTAGGCGTTATTACTATTATTATTATTATTATTGGAAGCCTTTAGTTATTATTATTAGAAGGCATTAGGCATTATTGCTATTATTATTAGACTTTAGGCATTATTATTGGGAGACTTTAGGCATTATTGCTACTATTATATTATAATTATAATATTATTATATATTATATTAGTATTAGTATTTTGCAGTTAATTATATTCTGCTTTATGGGGGGACAGTTTCCACAAAGCAGCCAACAGGCCATATTAGGTGCTATCGAGTCAAGCTTAGCTTGGATTGCCTCTGTGGGGTGTGTGCTTGCCATCCTGATCTTTTTTAGTCGTAATTTATGGGTGTAACAAGCAATATAAATAAATGTGAAGAAGAAATGTGACAAATGATTTAAAAGCAAACAAGCAGCAAATGTCTAGGGTCTTTCCTGTGGCACTTTGGGCACTAATGTCCCAGGGCAAGGGGTGGAGGGAAGAAGCCATCTGAGTAGAATTGTGGGATAGTTGTCATTGAGTTTCTTTCACCTGCACTGTGCTTCAACTCCAGTTGTCCCTAATCATGACACTGAAATGTCTCCTCCTGTGTCATTTCGGAAAAGGCGATGCTTTTAAAGAAATTGCGCAGTTTATGCTGGACTATTTTAGAGATGAATTTCCAGGGATTAAATCTTTCTGTGTTTGCTCACAGCTCAAAAAACAACAAAAAACTCCTTCAATTTAAGCTTTAAGCTGATTATTGCTCTTCACAGACCCTTCCTCCCTCCCTTCCCTCCCTCTTAAAACCAGAACCCTGGGCAGCTCGCAACCATAAGATAAAACAATATCACACAGAGAATAAACACAAGAAACAATAAAAACCAAAGCATAAAAACCTCGCGCCACAACCAAACCACCCCTGATGCAACCCGCAACTCTCTCCTCCAGCTCCAAACTCACTCTATCCCAGCACTTGGGGGAAAAGCCAGCTCTTTCCAGCTTCCCGTAAGGCTAAAAGAGTAGGGGCCTGCCGGATTTCAAGGGGAAGGGTGTTCCATAGGCAGGGTCTGCCACAGAAAAGGCATGCTTCCTGGACCCTGCAAGATGGCAGCATTTAAGTGAAGGGATTTGGAGCGTGCCGACTCTTAACTGATCTGGTGGGATGGGTGGATACCTTCAGGGTATCTGTTTATTGGCAACAGCACAGAAATGGCTTCTCACTGTTTTCCGTGGGATGATTTTTTTCCAGCTTCCGGTCTCAGCCACAGCTCTGGGATTTCTTGGTGGAAATACCTGCTCCGACCCTGCTTAGCTATTTGAGATTAGAGAAAGTTGACCAACATCAGCTGATTACAGCTACTGTTAGTAATTAAATATTTGGGCATTTGAAAAAGTGAATATCCTTCCCATAGCCAGAAGGTACAGTAGTGTGCAGAACTAGGTGGGTGGGGGGAAGAGCCAGCTGAAGCAGCCAATTTTTCTACAGTGTTATTTCCCCCACTGCCACACATGCCCTTCAAGCTTTTGGTTAAATCATGCCAATCTCAGTTCTGTAAGAAGTTAATTGCTGGTACAGGTAGTCCTTGACTTACAACCATTCATTTAATGACTGTTCGGAGTTACGACGGCACTGAAAAAGTGATTTACAACCAGTCCACTTACAACCATCGCAGCATCCCTGCAGTCACGTGATCAGAATTTGGGTGTTTGGCAACCAGCATGTATTTATGACAGTTGCAGCATCCTGGGGTCATGTGATCATCATTTGCGACCTTCCCAGGGGGTTTCCAATAAGCAAAGTCAATGAAGGAAGCCAGATTTGTTTAATGACTATGGCAAAAAAGGTCATAAAATTGGGCGTGATTTACTTGACTACATTGCTTAGTGATGGAAGTTCCAGTCCCAATTGTGGTTGTAAGTCGAGGACTACCTGTATTTAATTAAACATTTCAGGTCCTAAAAAAACATATAACCAATACAAAGATTTGCCCTAAACCTTTGTATTGGTTAGTTATTAAAAGAAAAGCTTCAAGAATATTTTTACAACGGCTTTCAGCAAATAGGTGTCTTCTAGAATGTGTTGGAACTGCAGTTTCCATCATTCTGGCCAGTGAGGCTGATTCACAGGCTTCTGCTTTTTTTCCCCTTGAAACTGCTCCCTCTGCCTCACCCTCCAAAAAAATCCTGTGAGTATTAACAGTTCCTTGTGGGTTGCTCAGCAATTTTGAGCAACTTAAGAAATCCAATGCCTATCCCATGATTCCATCCTGGGCCACATTTATGATTGATTTTGGCCAGGAATGTAACATTAAGGTAATCATCTCCAGCTGATGCCCTTGAGACATTTTATCTCTCGGGTGGAGAATTGCAGTTCAGCACAGTCCCCAGGAGAAGAGCAACTGGGGAAGATGGTCCCAGAATGCCACCTGCCTTTTGGCCTTTAAAATAGGACTGGGCAGAATGCTGTGGAAACTAAGGGTATGCTGAAAATACAAGATGCCAGTTTAGACTTGGCTACCAGCTGTTACCTGTAGTGGGTTTATTCCACCCTGGTTTGACTCTTTCCCATCAGGTGCCTTGCCCAACCATGGCTAGCCAGCATGACGAGGCTGGGAAGGATGGCACTTTTGCGTCTGAGGACTTGGCCGCCGAAGCCATGGCAGCCAACATGGATTCCTGGGTGGTCTTTGATGCCCGCAAGACTCCCAGGGCTGAATTCGAGGAATGGCTGCAGACCTACCAGCCGTCTCGCGTCTCTCGCTTTGGCAACCCAGAGTGCAACACCGAGCCAGTGGGCTGGATCGCCGTCTACGGCCCCGGTTTCTGTCCAGAGGGTGGAGATGTCATAGGGCTTCAGGAGGACTGGGAACGGCTGCAGCTCAGTGGGCGCCACATCACCTTCGAGTCTATCAAGGAGCTGGCCCTGAACCGGCGGGTCCTGACTGGCAAGTGGCTCATGCACTTAGACAGCGGCTTCAAAGTAGACCACGCTTGGTGCGGCATTGCCCGGGCAGTCCTCGAAGGGCGCGTCGGGGTGGCCAAGGTGAGCCCCTGCTGCCCCGACTCCGAGCGCAAGCACGTGATCTGCGTGTACACAGACGACTTCACTAATGAGGAGCAGGTACTGGCGGCCGACTCCGTGATCAGGGCCACGGGGGTGAAATGCCTCCTGTCCTACAAGCCTGACGTTTACACCTACCTGGGCATCTACCGTGACAATCGCTGGCATCTCTGCCCCACCATTTACGAAAGCAAGTTTGACTTGGAATGTGTGCCCCGTCGCTCACGCATCATTAACAAAGTGAGCAATGCCGAAGTGACTTAAACTCCTGCTTCTGAACACATGACATTCCTGGAGGAAACAGCACGGATGCTGGGAACTACAAATCCCACCATGCAGTGTTCACTCAACTCCCTTTTCTCTCAGAGGACACATGAGAAGGTAGAATTGCCCAGCGCAGGCAGGCTGGATAAGAGTTTGTGTCAACGGGATTTCTGAGAAGCTTAAAAGTCCATCTTTGTAACACTATGTGAGTGGACATTTGCATTTACCATTAAACGGCTAAACTGTGTGTGCTGCACTCCCTGGGGGGAACTGATAGGCTTTGAAACTGTCCATCTTTTTATTGCAGAAGGTGCCCAACAGAAGATCCCTACCAATCTTCTTCTGCAGAATGGCTCACCAACAGTAGGAGAAGCGATTTGCTGCAATGTCGGATTTCTGCCATCTAGGAAGGCAGGGGGTTATCAGAAACCAAACACAGCAGCAGAGAGGGAAGAACAGTGCTGGTTTCGTTTTGGTAGAGGTGTGAAATGGAAACTCTAGGCAACAGACAGTCTAATTTTTCTTACCAGCCTTTGCTCAAAGTAATTGGACTTTATTTTTGTGGTTCTTGGCTGCATTTACCTGTAACTAGGCTGAAAATAAAAAGGCATTTTTTCCCTCTCTTGGTCTGAGGGTTTACTTCTGGAGTTTGGAGATGAATCCAGATTGCAAAAGTTTTTGGGAAATTCTCAGTTCTTGGTGTCGGAAAGTAAAGCTCTCTTTGGTTGTTTCAGGAGCAGAGAGAACAGATGGGCCCAAATATTTTGCAGGGAGGGAAGGAACGTAGATATGCTTTCTTGAATTAAGCTGTTGCCGTTGGCTGCAGCGGGTCAAACTTAGCAAGAGTGCTGAAGTGGAAACATAGTCTCTTTGACGGCCACCTCTGCTATATCTTAAGCAGGTAGTTCTAGAGCAGCATCACTGTGCTTCCACATTTATCTCACCTTGCCTATAATTTGTATATAGCCTTGCCTTTTGTTAATAAAAAGCTACTTCTGGGGTCACGCATTTCCCTCGGCAGTAATGAGGTAATGCATGTATGAATCCACCCAGCCTCCCTCAGAACTTTATGGATTGAGATACTCTGCAGCTGCAGTCCCGATGGTGGAGGTGTTTGAGCCGTTGGCTCTTTTTGACATTAAAAGTGGGTTGGGAGCAGTAGAGCAGAGATCCAGACTTTAATGTGGAATTTGGCTGCCAAATGAGAGAAGAACTGGCTGTGTATCTACAACACCCAAGATTAATATGTGGTTGGATAGTCTAGGGCTTGGCATGGTGCAGAGCCTGGGTGGTTAGTTTATGGTTCCATGTGTTGTCTGAATGCAGGCACTTGGGTTAGAACATTGTGCGTCGTTTATAACTGCAGAGAGGCAAGGATTGGCTAAGTAAGACTTTGGAGACCCCCCCACTCAACGCCAAAATACACACCTTAATCCATTGCGGTGCTGAGGCTTTAGTTTATTAGAACCTGCTACAGTGAGGAGAAAACAAAGGAAGAACGGTCAATTTACATTACCAAAAAGGAAAGAAATGCGCGTGAAAAAGTAACAGCAGGTTAATTATGCTTTACACATCCACTCCCATTTTTTTTTTTAAATGTAGCATACTGTAGTATAAAAAGAAATAAAGCAGCAGGGTTGTGACACAGCTACTTTCTTTGCATCTTGCAGGACTGATGAGTGGGAACGTAAGTCCCGTCTGAATCCAAGCCTATGTTGTTACCCACCTGGCCTAACCTGACTTACTCTGTACCTCCCCCTAACTGGGTTTTTGCTCAAGCCAGAAAACAGTGCATGAAGGCAGACAGGAAAATGCTGTTCATCCCTTACTGCAGTGTTGTTCAAACTTGGCCACTTTAAGATGAGTGGACTTCAACTCCCAGAATTCCCC